GAGAGAGAGAAGGAGTTTGAAACCATGAAAAAACAACTGAAGGAGCAGCAGGAGAGAGAAATTCAAGCTGAAAAATCCAAGCTGCAGTCCATGCATGTTTCTGAGGCCAGAACTGAAGCTGAAGAACATGATCTGTTCTATCATCTGGCACTAGCTGGAAAATTTCTTGCTAAGGCCTGTGAAATAATGTAAGGTTATAGTTGTCACCTAGCAATTGCTACTGATGCAGAAATACTAAAAGAACAAATTTTAACTGGATGTTTCTCAAAAGAGAAACATAAACAACACAGACTTGATAAATGAAGTTGAGCTCAAGGTAGTGTAATGTAATTCACCTCTGACCTCAGTGTCTTGCAATTCGTTTAAAAATGTTATCATTTTACTGTGATCATTGTCCTTATTGTCAGTATGTTGGCTCACTCTGTTGTTTAATCCTGTACTGAGTGTAATGTGACACGTAAACCTTAATCTAATCAATAAATACTGTTTCATCCATCCATTTTCTGTACACCCTTGTCCTTTGTGGGGTCAGGAGGTGCTGGTGCCCATCTCCTATCTCCAGCTGACGTTCCGGGTGAGAGGCAGGGGTCACCCTGACAGGTCGCCAGTCTGTCACAGGGCAACACAGAGACAAACAGGATACACAACCATGCACACACACACTCACACCTAGGGAGAATTTAGAGAGACCAATTAACCTGACAGTCACGTTTTTTTACTGTGGGAGGAAAGCAGAGTACCCAGAGAGAACCCACCATGCACAGGGAGAACATGCAGAAATACCCCAGGCTGGGTATCAAACCCAGGACCTTCTTGGTGCAAGGCAACAGCTCTACCAACTGCACCACTGTGCAGCCCCTAGCTACTGTTTCATTATGAGAAAATACTCCAAATATTTTCATTATCTATTTAATATTAGCTGTAGTCATATTTTCAGTTTAACCAGGTTTTTTATAGGCTCTCCTTCCTCTTTATAGATACGTTGATATAACCTTTAAAACAATTGCAAAGTTATTATTCTTCCATTAAATTTTACTAGACAGCATATCACAGAAATTCACCACAAATGGTGAAAATTACTTTTTAAAATATACAAGTCATACTTTGTACCAGTAGTATCAGAGTTTAGTTCAAATAGGTTCGTTCTAATACACAAAAAGTGGGTAAAAATTCCTCCACAATAACATCCTAGACTGATACAGTCAAATAGAAAAGTATAAATTCAAGGTAATGCTTGTTATAGGTTGTTGAATCACAATCATTAATTATAATTGTTTTATTGAGTTATCTAATTAAATGTCTTTAAAAAATTGTTGAACTCTTGTCAACAGAAGCAAAATTTATAAATATTTAGATGACTTATAGTGATTAAGTCTAAAGATCCTAGTATTTTCAAGTTTCTGTTTGAAGTATGTTACCTATTAAATATATTTGACAAATATTCCAGAAGTGAAACCATCCCTGTAGGTCTGAGGTGAAGTCAAAGCTCCAGTTCCAGCTTCCTGCATGGTTATGTGTTTGCCACGTGTCAGCAGGGACTCTGAAGTTTTATACAACATCCAGACGGGACTCTGGATTCTTTCCACGCTTCCCTCAGGCTGCTGCAGGGCGTGTTGAAAGGCTGGGAGGAGAAAGGTCCAAAACAAACCAAAAACTGTCACAGTTTTACACCATTCTGTTAACTTGTGATTCATTCTGGCATTTAAAAAATGGTCAGCTTTGTGAACTTTGCTTCCACCAACCTGCAACAAAAACATGATTTACTCCCATTTTACCAAAGAAAACAGTTTGACAAACAGGGTAATTTTTAAAATGAACAAGCTGAGTCCCAAATAACCAAAACATTTGACAAACAGCAGAAGATCAAATTTAGACTGATGTATTTCTAAGGTCA